GAGGGCATTTGGTGCAGCGGCGAAGACCCCATGACCACCTCAGAGTGCTGGGCTTCAGTTCCCAGGCCGGCACCTGATCTGGCTTCCTGCTAATGCAGTCCCGGGGGGCAGCAGTGCTGGGCCACGTGACGGGCTCCGCCGTCCACGCGGGAGCGCTGGGCTGAGTTCCTGGTTCCCGAGTCTGTATGAGGGTGCTGGGAGGAGTTCACGGAAAAATGGAATTAAAAGATGAATGACTGGGGCCGGCACTGTGGCGCCGTGGGAGAGCCACGGCCTGTGACATCAGCATCCCACGTGGGCATCAGCTCCAGTCTCAGCTGTTGTACTTCTGCTTCCTGCTAATGAGCCTGGGAATGCAGCAGGGTGGTCCAAATACTTGGGCCCCTGCACCCACGTGGGAGACTGGATGGGGTTCCTGTCTCCTGGCTTCAGCTTGGCCCAGCCCTGGGCCATTGCTGCCATTTGGGGAGATTTCAGCAGATGGAAGATTCATTCATTCACTCTCATTCTCTCTCTCTCTACTTTTCTCTCTGCCTTTCAAATAAATCAATCACTATTTTTTAAAAGGTTAAGTTATTTTGCTGCAAAAGTTTTTGAAATCCACGTATTAGTTTTTTCATAGCCCATTTTCCTGAAGTTTTCAGATTCCCCCTCATGCTGCAGCCACAGCACAGGGCCCCACATGGCTCGTGCTCCCTCCCTTGCAGGCCCTGGTTAGGCACAGTTTGTATTTTTATTTTTTGCTTTGTTTTTAGGATTTACTTGTTTATTTGAAAGGCAGAATGGTTGGAGAGAGAAGAAGACAGAGAGAGAGATAGAGAGAGGGAGAGAGAGGGCAAATCTTCCATCCACTGGTTCATTCTCCAAATGGCTACAACAGCTGGGACTAGACCACGTGGACACCAGGAGCCAGGAACCCTATTCAGGAATCCCCACATGAGTGGCAGGGGCTCAGCCACCTGGGCCCTCTTCCGTTGCCTTCCCAGGCACGTCAGCAGGGAGCTGGATCAGAAGCTGAGCAGCTGGACTTGAGCCCATGCCCTGATACGGGATCCTGGTGTTGCAAGTGGCGGCCTAACCTGCTGTGCCACACACTGGCCCCAGAGGCTCGGTTCATAGTGGAGTAGACACTGAATGTTCTCCGTCCACTCTCCGTCAAGGCTCCCCACCATTCTGGTGGCCTGTAGCTCATTCCTAGAACATTCTTCAGGAATGCTCTTGGGGAAGGCATTCTAAGTCTATAAGTTTGTGTCCTGAATACTTAAATTTGGCTGGGCACAAAATCCTTGGATCTTTTTTACTTCATTTTCTTGAGCATCTAAAATGATTGCTCCATTTACTTTTTTTTTAAAGATTTATTTATTTGAAAGGCAGAGTTTGGCCGGCGCCGTGGCTCACTTGGATAATCCTCCACCTGCGGTGCTGATACTCTGGATTCTGTCCCGGCTGCTCCTCTTCCAGTCCGGCTCTCTGCTGTGGCCTGGGAGTGCAGTGGAGGATGGTCCAAGTGCTTGGGCCCTGCACCCCATGGGAGACCAGGAGGAAGCACCTGGCTCCTGGCTTTGGATCAGCTCAGCACTGGCTGTAGCGGCCATTTGGGGGGTGAACCAATGGAAGGAAGACCTTTCTCTCTGTCTCACTATCTAACTCTGCCCGTCCCAAAAAAAAAAAAAAAAGGCAGAGTTACAGAGAGGCAGAGAGAGAGAGAGAGGGGAGAGAGAGAGAGGTCTTCCATTCACTAGTTCACTCCCTCAAATGGCTGCAATGGCTGGAGCTGACCCAATATGAAGCCAGAAGCTTCTTCCAGGTCTCACTTGCAGATTCAGGGTCCCGAGCACGTGGACCATCCTCCACTGCTTTCCCAGGCCACAGCAGAGCTGGATGGAAAGTGGAGCAGCCGGGACTCGAGCTGGTGCGCACATGGGATGCCGGCACAGCACGTGGCAGCTTTACCTGCTGTGTCACAGCGCTGGCCCCTCCATTTACTTCTGCCATAAAGCATTCCTGTTGAAAAGCCTGAGAATATTCTAGTTTCCTTCCCTGTGCAAGCCGTGTGCTCTGTTTCACAGTGATGCCCCAAAGTACTTTTATTAGCAGAACACCCTGGTGCTGTCAGCCTGAGCTGCATCCCTGGGTACACAGTGAGCCTCCCATGAGGCGCTGTCAGTGTCTCTGTAAAGACAGTGTGCATGAACTGCAATTATCAGCATTCATTCTGTTCCTCTGCTTGGCTTTCTTCTTCTGAACGAGAAGTGCGTTATCCGTGTGTTGGATCTTCTTTGTCTTACAGCCATCGTAATTCATTTTTTCTCAAGTATTCTCCCTTTATCTATAATACTTAGTTCTGTTACCTCACTTCCGAATTCTCACAGATTCCAGTTTGTTCCTGCTGTTCTGAGGTGTCTTCTGTGCATATTAATGTATATTAGTCTGTTTGGAAGTAGGAAGTTCCGGTACAGATTTGCTTATGGGACTGTCTCCTCGGATGCTGATTTTCCCTTAGTCTTTTTTTCCCCAAATTAATGTTATGTGGGCTTTGACCTTGAATTTTCCACTGCTGAAATTTATGTAGCTGATTTCCCCACAATGTTTAGGGGCGGCCATGGTCAGGACAGCTGACACTTTCGTATACACTACCGCCATGGCGACTTTTTCAGGAATTCTGGCTCTGCTTCCTATCCTCGGTTGTTTCTGGGCCTTTTTCCTGTTTTGTGTTATTTTCCCCCATCCTGCTGACCTTTGAGTCCAGGTTTCTTCTTGCCACGGGGCCCTGCTGGGGAAGGAACCACGCACTCACTCCCAAGAGTCTGACAGCTGCAGCTCCTCCACGCTCCCCCATTCCTCCCCAGGGAACTCACGTGCTGAAAGTGGGCACAGCCCCTCCTGTCCGGGTCAGCTCTGTCCCACCATGGCCATGGCCCTTTCCAGTGAGTGCAGGCTGTGCTGGGGTCTCGTGTTCTGAGGCCCCTCAGTGCCAACTCTTTATTAACTTCTTCCCCGTTCTGGGCTTCTCCAAAAATCTGTTAGTTCCCAGGTTGCAGCTGAACTTTTGGCCTATGAACTTGTGTTTTTGCTACCTAGTTGCTCTGTTTATTTTTTATGTGGGGACTTCAGAACGCCCATTGCTGCTGTTGAAGCTAAAGATCTGATTGGGAAAAATGAGTCAAATACGGACAAGGTTAAAGCATGCCAGCCCTTGGGGAAAATTTGAATTTTTTTTTTTAAGAAATGGTTCATTTTCTCAGGGGCTGATGCTACCCACTATGACCTTGGGTACCACAGAGGTTAGAAACTGGAAGATCACTAGAAAAGTCCAGAATGGTTAAATTCATAAGGAGTTGAGAGATCAGTCCACAAATATTTACTGGGAATGCACCACGTCCCAGCACCGTAAAAGCACCAGGAGCTGTACGAAGCAGTAGGATCTTTAGCTACAAGACTGGAGCCACACATAAGAGCCCGTTCTGTCAGAAGCTGTCATTTTTCATTATTACCATAACTAACAGAACACAATCAAGGGAATACAGGAGGAAACTGTCCAGGACTTGAACAAGAAACACATGAAGTAAGCAGGAACTCAATACACTCGCCAATTCATGTTCTGGTCAGATTGTTACACTCGCTGGAAATGAGTCTCCGAGAAGGAAACAAGGCTGCCCTTCACAGGAGTCAAATAAACACTTGGTCAAAGGAAAATGCTGGCCTTCTCGCTCTCTTGGGCCGAAACAGGGCCCACACAGACGGAGTAAGGATGGGGTGCATTACAGCACAGTTAACCAGAGAGTGGCCACCAGTCGACACCGATGCTGCAACATTTTGACAAGATTCCGTATTTCCACACAGGGAACAGAGCCTGCTGGAGGAAGAAGGACCCATCACAGTGATCACTGACGCAGGCAAAAGCCACCGTAGAGGCTGAGACACCAGTGCAGACAGCATCCCCACAGCCTCAGAGGACGGCCCCCAGACCACTCATTAAGTACAAAGGAAAAGACGAGACTTTGAGGTGGAGAAATCCGGCAAACAGCACCTCCTGCTTGTGATCAGCCCTAGCACTGCCCGTGGGGGACTGGGGAGCACCACGGACCCCCAGCTGGAAGCCCGGCCATCTGTGGTTTCCTGCTGAATATGTAGAACCCGAATCAACTCACAAGGAGACCATCAACAAAGTCAGTCATGAGGCAGCCTCGAACACATCTCAGAGTCTTCAAAGATGTCAGTGTCCTGGAGGATCAGAGCAGTCCAGGGCAGTGTTCCAGAATGAAGGCAATTCAAGAAGACTGAAGGCAGCTGACAGCCCCCTGGAAGACTCCGGACTGGACTGTGGGTTGAGGACAAACACGATCGGACTACGGGGAAACTGTTAGCCACACGTCACTGGGGGCTCAGCATCTGGACTGACGCTAAGTTTCCTGAGTGTGACGATCCTTTGTGCTTATGTAAGAGAGATGGTCCCTGCTTACCAGACATACACTCTTCATGAAAGCAAAGAGAGTAACTCCACTAGGGTGCAAGAATTTCAAACTTCCAGTATGTCCTGGGCTCATCGTATTGTTTTATAAAAATCAAGATAAAAACATCAGTTGAGGAATTGGTACCCTCTCCCCTCCCCTCTTCCCTTTCTCTCTGCTGGAGGCCTCGTTTGGAAAGAATGTGTCCTGGAAGGATGTGTGTTCAGCCATGAGCACATGAACGATTCATCTTCTGAGGTCTGAGTACATCAGAATGAGCTGAGGAACCTGTTAGCAGGTTAAAAAGAATCTGCTGCTACCATGTTAGGGCAGAGGAGCTGGGCCAATTTGATCAAGAGAACCTGTTAGTCTACAGTGTTCTCTTAGGTTATTCAAATCGGTTCAGTCTGGCAAATATGTAGCAGAAGCCACCGTGGGCTAGGTTCTGGTTTGGCTAAAAACACAAACGAAGTATATTCCCAAGCTCTGGGGTCTCACAAGCCCAGGGGAGTCACGTGACCCAGGTAGCATCGTGCGGGTGTCCCTTACCAATGTAATCAGAGAGGTTGACTTTCCGAGCTGGGATCAGCAGCCCTTCTTCCACCAGCTCCTTGTACAGGGACTCGATGGTCCTGGGGAGAGAGCAGTGCGTCTGCGTCATGAACACACAAGACATCAAAACCACAGATGCCAAGAACTTGAACCACACCTACTGCAAAGCATGTTTGTGCATGTGCAAATCGATGGACTCTGGGGCTACGTTAGGTTTCTAAAAACAACACCTTCACTAATCCACATGTATACTGGAAGTCTCCCAGCAAGAGAAGTTTTATCTCTGAGTGTCTGAGACCAGCTATAGCTCCTGCAAACCGCCCTCCCATCACTCCTCATGATGGCGCAAACATAAATCAGAAGTTACCCAACAATAGTGATGCAACGAGCCCAGAACTGCATATGCAGTTAGCGTCTGCAAGCTATGGCAGGTCATTAATTCTTTGTGATACATGTTTCCTTTTAACCCGATACTATAACTGTTTAAAAGAAATACCTGCAGAGAACAAAGCTTATACCGGAGGCCATTTTTACACGGAACATAGAATGGCTAAAGCTGTGAGTGTGATGATTTTTTAGGAGGGCGCTATATTTTTCTGCAGTGTCTACAGATGTCTGAACCACTTCTCTAAGAAGGCGTGGGCATGGCGCCAGCACACTGGTCATTTATATTAACTGAGAAGAAACGGATGTGGTATCCCACTGAACGAGGCTCCCGCAGTTCTCACTGGGGTTTGCTCAGGGAACTCAGCGCGGTGCTGGCGAAACACCACTCAGTAGGGTCCCTTATGATGTTAGGTCTTTCCCTTCCTTTATTCTTCTGTTTTATCCTAGTCTTTCCTTAGGCTGATAATTGTAAACATAAGTGTTTTTAAATAGACCCACTGTTCTGTGATCCGAGTTAGTGCGATTAGAAGACCCGAGAGTATCAGACTCAAGCCAAATACTAGTAGGATAAATTTTAATCTAATGATCGCCATCTTTGGTTGATTGGAACCGTGTTCCATCAAATATATGTACAAGACTACGCCTCCTGCTGAAAATTAAGAATGGTTTAATTGCAATGGAATTTAGGAGAACAGAATCTGACCTATCAAGGAAGTATCAACTACTTCATCTGACACTTATTTAACATAAACATAACACATAGGTGAAAACACCAACACAAAACTGAAGAAAGTCTACATTCATCAAAACAGAATATATGAAGACACTCCTGCCGGCTCCGCGGCTCACTAGGCTAATCCTCCACCTTGCAGCGCCAGCACACCGGGTTCTAGTCCTGGTCGGGGCACCGGATTCTGTCCCGGTTACCCCTCTTCCAGGCCAGCTCTCTGCTGTGGCCCGGGAGTGCAGTGGAGGATGGCCCAAGTGCTTGGGCCCTGCACCCCATGGGAGACCAGGAGAAGCACCTGGTTCCTGCCTTCGGATCAGTGCGGTGCACTGGCCGCGGCAGCCATTGGAGGGTGAACCAACAGCAAAGGAAGACCTTTCTCTCTGTCTCTCTTTCTCACTGTCCACTCTGCCTGTCAAAAAAATTAAAAAACAAAACAAAACAAACAAACAAACAAACAAAAAACAGACACTCCTGGGGCCAGTGCTGTGGTGTAGTAGGTTAAGCCTCTGTGTGAGGGGCAGGCATCCCACATGGGTGCCGGCTGCTCCACTTCAGATCCAGCTCCCTGCTATGGCCTGGGAAAGCACTGGAAGACGGCCCCAGTGTTTGGGCCCCTGCACCTGAGTGGGAGACCTGGAAGAAGCTCCTGGCTCCCGGTTGCAGATCGGCCCAGCTCCAGCCACTGCTGCCATCTGGGGAGTGAACTAGTGGATGGAAGACCTCTCTCTTCTCTAACTCTGCAGTCCCAATCAGAAAACCGTATTTGGATTTTTCCAGTGAGATCGACTTTTGCTATGGGATAACACATTTTCAACTTTAAAACTACCTAATCCATACTGAAAACGCTGGTTTTAATGGTGATGTCAGTTTGATGAGGGAAACAGGAGTGGTCTTACAGTATCGTGGCGGAATGAACCCGAGCCTAGTGACACAGGGATATTTACCAGTTCCTGAAAGGGCTGGCGCCACGGCTCACTAGGCTAATCCTCTGCCTTGCAGCGCCGGCACACCGGGTTCTAGTCCCAGTCGGGGCGCCGGATTCTGTCCCGGTTGCCCCTCTTCCAGGCCAGCTCTCTGCTGTGGCCCGGGAGTGCAGTGGAGGATGGCCCAAGTGCTTGGGCCCTGCACCCTCATGGGAGACCAGGAGAAGCACCTGGCTCCTGCCATCGGATCAGCGCGGTGCGCCGGCCGCGGCAGCCATTGGAGGGTGAACCAACGGCAAAGGAAGACCTTTCTCTCTCTCTCTCACTGTCCACTCTGCCTGATAAAAAAAAAAAAAAAAAAAAAAAAAAAAAAAAAAAAAAAAAAAAAAATGGTTCCTGAAAGGGAGCAGGCACTTGGCCTAGGGATTAAAACGCCCAGGTTCCACACTGGAGGGCCGGGTCCCTCCCGGGTCCCTCCCGCCTCTCGCTCCTGCCTGTGCAGACCCGGACACGGCCGTGGTGGCATCAGCACTCGGGTCGCTGCCACCCACGTGGAAGACCCCGATGGAGCTCCTGGCTCCCGACTCTGGCCTGGCCCAGCCCTAGCTATCGTCAATACTGGGGGAGTGGGTCGGGGGATGGGGGCTCCTCCTGCCTCTGCGTCTCCAACAAGCGACCCCTGCGGCGTGGCGCGTGCGCGGGCCAGGCCTCCTCGAGGGCTGGGCCTGGCTGGACGCACCACAGCGGTGCAGGTGCCCAGAGGCACACGGGTCTCCCCAGGCACCGGGGCACCCCAATCTCAAAACGCGGCCCAGGCCCGCCGCGCAGGCAGCCAGCCAGCACCCGGACAACCGAGCCCCACCTCGGGGAACTGCGCGGGCCGCTCTCCGCAGCCTCCCGCACCCCCGCACGGCTCTTCCACGGGCCGAAGGCCGGGCGCCCCGCACACGCTGTGTCTCCTCCAGGGAGGAGCAACACGTGACCCGAACAAGTGACCCGGGGGGCGGGGAAGCACGTGACCAAGCGCGGTGAAGCACGTGGCCCAGTGAGGGCTCCCGAGACCCCACCCGCGCGGACCGGTTCCCCCGGCCCAGGGGAGGAAACGCAGGTGCTCCAACGGCCTCTTCAGGATTTAGCAAACTCCTCGACAATCCCGGAAACCCACGCGCTGTTTTCTATGTGGGAGCCATTACGGACAGTTCACACCGAGGCCCGCGGAGCGGCGGGTGCGGTGCCGTGCCCGGGGGTGGGGGGGGAGGCGCGGGTGCGGGGCGGGCTGTGCCGGGGGGGGGGGGGAGGGAGGCGCGGGTGCGGGGCGGGGCTGTGCCCGGGGGGGGGGGGGGAGGAGGCGCGGGTGCGGGGCCATGCCGTGCCTGGGGGAGGCGCGGGTGCGGGTGCGGGGCTGTGCCCCTGGGGAGGAGCGGGTGCGGGGCTGGGCCGTGCCCCTGGGGAGGCGCGGGTGCGGGGCGGGCCTGGCCTCCCAGACCCCGGGTGTGCGGGGCTGCAGACGGGGCTCAGGCCGCGCTGGGGCCGCGCTGGGGTCTCCCCGCCACCGCACCACGCACCTGTCGGCCGTCAGGTCTTTCTCCTTCTTCTCCCGCTTCCCCCGCCTGCCTCTCTTCTCTTTCTTTTTCTGAAAGTGGAAAAGACCAGGAGTTTAGTAAAACCACGCAGCCAGGGGGCCCTCGCCGGGAGCTACGCGGGCTGCGCTGCGGGGTGGCCCGGGCCGTGGGGGCCGCGCTGGGAGCAGGTGAGGCTGCAGGCCAGGGCCCGACCTGGGCAGGCCCCCATCCGGGCTCTGCTTCTGGGCTGCCCCCCAAGGGTGCTAGGCCTGGGCCAGGGGCTAGGCGGGCTGCACTGCGGGGTGGCCCAGGCCGTGGGGGCAACACTGGGCGCACAGGTGAGGCTGCAGGCCAGGGCCCCACCTGGCCCCCATCCGGGCTCTGCTCCTGGGCTGCCCCCTAGGGTGCCAGGCTCAAGCCGCGCTGGCTGAACGTCTGCGGCCCCCAGTTCCTGCGGGAAAGCCTGGCCCCAGGTGCCGGTGTGTAGGCAGGGCCGTCACTCTCGAGGCCCTAATGAGACAGGTCGCAGGGAGCAGGCTCAGCCCGCTTTGCCCCCCTGGCGGATCCCGCACCTGCCGGAGCTTTGACTGCCTGTGCTTCTGAGGTCTTTTCCAAGAAGTCTTGCCGAGTTTCCCCAGTGTTCTCTAATGATTTGATGGTATCAGGTCATAGGTTTAGGTCTCTGATCCATGTCGAGTGGATTTTTCTGTAAGGTGTCAGGTAGGGGTCTAGTTTCATACTTCCGCATGTGGAGATCCAGTTTCCCCAGCACCACTTGTTAAAGACTGTCCTTGCTCTGTGGATTTTGTTGTAATTCTAAGAAGTCTTTGCCTAGTTTTAGATCCTAAGTCTGCATTTTTCTTCTAAAAGTTTTATGGTTTTACCTTACATTAGGATCTCAATTTGAACTAGGTTTTGTATAAAATGTGACACTGGGGTCAAGGTTCATATTTTTTGATTAATAGATGCCCAGTTGTCCCAGTACCATGTATTCAAAGGGTATCTTTTCTACCTCGAATTGCTTTTGCACTTTTGTCTAAAAGTCTCCTTGGTATATTTGTGTGGGCCTGTTTCTGTGGCTCTCTGTGCAACTATCTACCAGTTGCACATAGTCTGTATCATGACAAGCCTTGACTTTGCATAAGTTGATCCATCTCATTTTATTCCTCTTTTTCCAAATTCCATTAGTTTTTCTAGTTCCATTGCCTTTACATAAATTTTAGAATAATCTTTTCAATGTGCACACATTATATTACTGGGAGTTTGATAAGAACTGCATTAAACCTTTGTATAAATGTGGAATTGTCATTTTTACTATGTTGACTCTTTCAATCCATGAACATGGTATGCCTTTCTATTCAGCACTTCTCTGATTTCTTCCATAGGTGTCATGCAGTGTTAGCATACGAGACCTGCATATGTCTTGCTAGATTCATAACTCAATATTTCATTTTCTTGAGTGATTTAAAATTATATTGTATTTTAATTTTGGTGTCCCTGTGTTCATTGCTGGCATACAGATATATAATGGATCTTTGCATGTTTATCTTATATGCTGGGATCTTGCTGCACTTATTATTTCTAGGCATTTATTTGTAGATTCCTTAGGATTTTCTATAAAGACAATATTCCATCTGCACGTAAATCTTTTTCATTTAATGGTAGAGTTTTGGATTTATAGAAATGCTGCAAAAATAGTACAGAGATGTCCCATATATTTTTCACATAGTTTTTCCTAGTATCATCTTACCTTACTATGAGCCAACACATATATTTTTTTAAAGATTTATTTATTTATTTGAAAATCAGAGTTACACAGAGAGAGGAGAGGCAGAGAGAGAGAGAGAGAGAGAGAGAGAGACAGAGAGGTCTTCCATCCGCTGGTTCACTCCTCAATCAGCTGGAGCTGTGATGATCCAAAGCCAGGAACCAGGAGCTTCCTCCAGGTCTCCCACGTGGGTGCAGGGGCTCAAGGACTTGGGCCATCTTCTACTGCTTTCCCAGGCCATAGCAGAGAGCTGGATCAGAAATGGAGCAGCTGGGACTAGAACCTGTGCCCATATGGGATGCTGGCGCTTCAGGCCAGGGTGTTAACCTGCTGTGCCACAGCGCAGGCCCCTACCAACACATATGTTTAATAAAAGTTCAGCTTACTAGGTTTCCACTAATTCTTCCCAATGTCCTTTTGTGCACTGCCCCCACCCAGGGACCCCACATGAGGTTTAGTTGTCCTGCTCCTCAGTCTCCTCAGGTCTGTGGCTGCTTTTATACTTTTCTTATTTGGGGGGGCCTTGGCAGTTGTGAGGAGTGCTGATTGTGTATCTAGTAGAGTCACTAAATTATGTTTTTCTAATGTGTCTTGCATGATTCGTCTTGGATTATGGTTGTTTGGGGAGGGTGAGCAGAGGGTGAACCGCCACTTTCATAATGTGACATTGAGGGTGCTTGTTGCCCATTAAATCATCACAGAAGAGGTCAACCCAGTCACTAGGGTGAGGTAGCACTTGTCAGGCTTCTCTAGAGATGGTCTCATCTCTTCCACATCCAGCCTTTGGGAGCAAGTCACTAAGCAGTTTGCACTTGGGGGAGTTAAGCTGCACCTCGTTGGCAGGAAGACTGTGCACTCACTACTTGGAATTCTTCTGCATGAGCCATCTGTCTTATTCCCTTGTTCACTCAGGTACTCATCAGAATGCTCACAGCTCTTCATTTTATACTTTGGATTATAACTCAGTATCTCATCGTCTGCCTTCTTGCTCCGGGTGTTCCAGTCTTGCTCTGTGGGAAGTCTTTGGGCCTTGGTGTGCATTCAGGGTGCTCTCACTGTTCAAAGATGCTCTGGGCTCTGGGGCACCTGCTAGCCCTAGAGTCAGCCCTGCTTCCTTTTACTGCGGGATGGGACTGGAAGCCAAGGTCTAGGGGTTGGACATGCTCATTCCACTGGGCTGTCATTGCTCCAAGGCCCTATCAGTAGACCAAGATTAAAAAAAAAAATAGAATTTTTTTTAATATATTAATTCTGTGCAAAAAATTTGCCAAGTTCAATGATTAATTCTAATAGCTTGTTAAGTTCTTTTGGATTGTTTACATAGATAATCATTTCATCTCTGATAAGGGACAGTTTTCTATTTTCCTTTTAATCAGTACATTTTTGTTTGTTTTTCTTGACTCATTGCACTCATCAAGCATTCCACTGCAATGCTGAATAGATATGATAAGAATGAATATCCTTGTTTTAGTCTGCAGACCAGGGAGAGTGTTTAATGTTTTACTGTTTAGCGTGGCGTGGCCTGCAGGGTCAGATTGAGACGATTCGCTTTATCGCTAGTTTGCTGAGAGTTCCCCTTCCTGGAAAGTGCTGGATTTTACTAAATGCTCATTCTTTGTGTCTAGATGACCATATGGTTCTTCTATTTTGTTAATGTGGTTAATTATGCTGATTGATTTCCCACTTCGCATTCCTAGAATAATTTTCATTTTTATGATTTTTTTAAAAAAACACTCAATGCTATCATTAAAAACTTGCTTAAGATTTTTGTGTGTAAATTCAAAGGAGATTCCAAATTATCATTTTCATATTTATAATGTCCTTGTCATTTTATCTTATCAGGGTTATATCAGTCTTATAAGTTTGGAAGTGCCCACTCTCTTTTCTATTTTCTGAGTTTGTATAAGACTATGATCTTTTTTTCCTGTGAATGTTTTGAAGAATTCATCGATGAAGCTACTGAGGTCTACATTATTTTGGGGGAAGGTTTTAAATTATGGATTAATTTCTTTAATAAACATAGTCTAATTTAGATTTTATAAATATCTTAGTTTTGTTTAATTGTAGTTTCAAGAAATTTGATTTTATGTACATTTCAAATTTATTGACATGGGTCATTTGCAATAATGTCTATAGGATATATAGTAATGTCCTATTTTCCAATCTTGATATGTTATTTTGGTCATTTTTGTTTCTTAGTCATACAATGCTAGATGCTACTACGTCTTATTAGTAGTTTTAAATAATTTACTTTAGTTTTGTTAATGTTTTGTGCTGCATCTAAGTTTTCTAATTCAAAGATACCCACTCTGTTTTTAAAAAAAAACTATAATTGTTTCATCCTTTGTATTTAATTTGCTGCTCACTTCTTAGCTTCTTCAGTGAAAAGCTTATTTATTTTCAATCTTTGCTCTCTTCTAATACATGAAGATTAGCGTGTACTTTCTCTCCATTCATGATTTCTACTTTGAAGTTATTTAGAAGTTTGTTGCTCAATTTTCAAGCATTTTTAGATGCTTTTCTTGTAATCTGTTTTGCAATCTTAACTGAATTCCACAGTTGTCCAAGACCAGTCGTGGCATGATCTCACCACCTGAAGTTGCTGGAACTTGTTTTATGCTCCAAAATAGGATCTGTTTTGGTGAATGGGTACAAACACTGGAGATACTGCACATTCTCTAGGGTTTTGTTTTTAAGTTATCTTTATGAGTCATTTAGATCAAATTGTTTATTATACATATCTTTTGTGTTGTACTCATTTTGTTTGTTCTATCAGTTACTGAGAGAGACTGGTTAACATCTCTAACAATGATTTTTAAAAATATTTATTAATTTATTTGAAAGGCAGAGTTACAGAGAGGCAGAGAGAGAGAGAGAGAGAGAGAGAGAGAGAGGTTTTCCATTTGTACGTTCACTCCCCAGATGGCCGCAATAGCCAGAGCTGTGCCGATACAAAGCCAGGAGCCAGGAGCTTCTTCCGGGTCTCTCATGCGGGTGCAGGGGCTCAAGGACTTGGGCCATCTTCCACTGCTTTCCCAGGTCATGGCAGAGAGCTGGATTGGAAGTGGAGCAGCCGGGTCTTGAACCGGCACCCATATGGGATGTCGACACTGCAGGTTGTGGTTTTACCTGCTGTGTCACAGCACCGGCCCCTCACAATGATTTTGAATTTGCCTATCTTTTTCATTAATTTTGCTAGCATTTGCTTTGTAAATTTGGAAGCTATATTATTAGATGTAAACAAATTTAGGAGTATTACTTCTTTAATTGAAAATTTTATGAAATACTAAATAAAATGTAAAG